AGGTTGTATAATCAGAGGTAACGTAGCCATGGTCAAATTGGAGTGTTTGCGGGGTGCAGATTTTCTGAACTGTTTGATGCCCTGTTCCCTGGACACCAACAGGAAATAGCTGGTTGCTTGAGCACTGGAAAATCAAGCTCTTTCCTAAGGCATAGCTGAACATTGCTGGAAACATCCATATGGAAGACACACATCTCAGAAAGATTCAGGGGACCAAAGGGAGGAGCCTCAATTCTCTGCCTAGACCACAGGTATCTTCAGAGCGATCTTCAGAGTATAAATGCCAGATGGCTGTTGCTACCCTGAAGCCAGGAAAAATCTAATTTTGTTCTGTTTAACCCACTCAGTCTAGCTGTGTCCTGCTTGCAGGGAGGAGTGTTAATATATTGTGATGGAGATTTTTTTTTCCATGTTTTACTGATACATACAGTCTTCTCCATAAAGACAAACATGCACAGTAAAAGGACTGTGATTGTGAAAGGTAAATTAATTTCGGAATGAAACCTGACCTGAATAAACCTCATTGGTGGTTACAGGATAGCAGTCTGGATGAAGCAGAGTAGAAGGCTAAAAAATAGTAATCAGTTTCATCACAGATGTACCAAGATCAACTTTTCTCTTATTCTTTTTCATGGCTTAGATTTTGTATTTCATGACATAGGTAAATGACATGCTTTGTCCACATTTTCTAGATGGCAAGCCACTGGAGAAATACATCTTCTAAAGCACATTCCTTGATTATCTAAGTAAGAGATTTCAGCCTCATTTATACCCACTGACTGTGTCACACTGTTTTAAATAGCTGATCAAAAGGGGCCATAACAACCCACTGAACAGCTTGTTATCTTACTTATGGAGTAATTGCAGCTTCAACTCTACCAGGAAGACAACAGACCAGCCAGAAGAGTACCCTGGTGTTTGAAAAGAGGGCTCTGCTCTTTGAGTGCTTGGCTCTATTTACTCCAGTTGAAGTTTTCCTCTGAAGCCTTATTACAGTTGGTTAGATTTCTTAATTTCTATTTACTTACCTGTCTTCTTTAACTCCTGCACTTTTCCCCTTTTTCCATCTGATCTGTTTTAGAAGTGTGATTTTGCTATATGAATGGTTAAAAACGGGAAAAAACCAACCCTCTTTCCAAAGTTTCAAAGAGAAAAAAAAAAGAAATGTGAATCACTGAGCAAGGTTTTTTTGGTTTGGTTTTTTTTTTTTTGTTGGTTGGTTGGGTTGGGGTTTTTTTGCATTTCTTTGTATTCTTTTATGCTACTGCATGTTTAAAATAACAATACCATGTGTCCTGGTCCCAGGGAGGACAGGGTTAATTCTGCCCAGGCTCTGGCAGGGACACAGGTATTCCATACCATGTGAACCATGCCCAGTCCATAGCTGGGAGCTGGCCACGGGAGGTGGTGGAATTCCCACTGGGATCGGGCTCCCCGATCCGGTGGGTGAGTGGTGGTACTGTAATATCCTTGTACATTCCTCTCTCAGTATTATGTTTTCTTGTTCCCTTTGCTGTTCAGTTAAACTGCCTTTGTCTCAACCCACGAGTTTTGCCTTTTTCTTCCAATTCTCCCTCACGCTCTCAGGAAGCATGAGAGTGGCCATTCTTTGTTGCCATCTGAGGCTAAACTGAAAACATGCAAGGTCCGTAAGGACCACCATGTCAGAGGTTACAGTGAGGTTCGCTGTACGGTTTATGGATCCCCTCTCACATTGTTATAATTACACTTAGGAGGGATGTGTATGTTTCTAGACCCCACCTTTTTTTTTTTTTCTTTCAGTAATTTTATTTTTCACACCCTAATCTGAAAGGGCTTGAAAGTAAACCAGCACTGGACTGCCAGCTCAATAACTGGCATTCACAGTTCACAGACAAGCTGTGTCAGATAAGAGCACATTACTGAGTTTGAAAGCACATTGAGTGAAGTCATGCCTCCTGCAAAGCTTCGCAAGAAATTCCAGTTGCTAACCAAATATCATATCAGAAAATAAAGCTCCAATGTGTTAAAAGCAACCAGCAGCAGAAAGGAAAAGCTGTGAAATTGCACGAGGTATCTGTTGGAAGGTCAACGAAATTAAAAAAAAAATGGTGTCTTAACACCCGGTCCGTTTCATCAGCAATTAGAAATAAAGTGCAAGTGCTGACTATCTCAGGAATCAGAAGCAAACCCTTTTCTGAAGGAGGATGTTTGTCTCCTTTTTTCCCTAGCTATATACATAAATGTGAAGTTTTCTAATGATTAAAAAGCATATATGTCACAACATCATAGTCTATTAGACAAGCTTAGTCAAGCAACAGATATTCGCAAGAATTCACAATACACTGCTGAACATCAGTGATGGTTATACCCTATATTCTCCAAAATCACGATTTAATTCAGGTTGTGTGTGGAATTATATTATCAAACCAGTACATTTTGAAGTAGGAAGATTTTTAATTTTCACTAATAACATCACAAATATCAGCCTGCCGACAGAGAAAGAGTAATCTTGACCACAAGGAACCCAGGGCAAGAGTCCTAATCATCTCAAAACAGATTTGTTCACAGAGAACATTGGAGAGATGATTTATGAAAACAATTTAAACAAGGAGAGGAACAAGAAAGTGCACAAGCTAGTTAGTAAGTGCAAAGGAAAGAGAATGGAAAAGGATGTTCAGATATAACAAAGAGTGCTTTGTTATCCAGCACTTAGAGGACATGGAGGCACCTAGCTAAGGAGACAACAGGAGATTTCAGCCCCTGCACTAAGTCCTTCACAGTGATTTCTGAATCAAATCTGCTACTCATCACAAGCCTGACAATCATCTCAATTGCAAGTCAACAAAAGCTACCTCAGCTGCCTGGGAGGGACAGAGTGAAGTCTTCCAGGCACATGATGTGAATGCATGCTTTCCTGGTGCTCTGGGGCCCAGAGAAGGCCCTGAGCAGACTTTGACCATTAAGATGGCTCCTTGGGCTGTTCCAAGTCTGCCAAAATTTTCTTCTTCTGAAACTAGCGAGGAACAATTGGACCCAAACCTAGCACTCCCCAGTGGTCACTGGAAATACCTGAGTAGGATATACAGCTGGAGTAAGGCTCTGCTCTTCATACCAGTCAGTTTCAAGACTTTGGTATCCCATGGTCAGTCAGTAATGACTGGTCTGAAAGAAAAAGTGAGGGGTAGGAACCACTAGTTTAGTTCACACGTATTAAGCCACTAGACCCTCAGAAATACCACACAGTCCAGTTTCAGGACATCTCTATTTCCCTGACAAAGCCACGCTTTTGGAAAAAGCCTACAAAATGAGTTACATCACCAGAACTGAATTATCCATAGCGTTACTTCACTGTTATTCCTGAGTGTTTTATAATTACTCTTCCCTAATGCCAACCTAAAAAAAATGTCGGTGGCTTCTCCACTGACTCAGCTCCCCTCACAGAGGCAAAGCACAGGAGCAACTATGGAGGAGGGAACAAAGCAAAAAGTCAGCCTTGAGCTATTTTACACAACAGCCTTTGTCTTGTAATGGAGAAAAGAAATGGAAGCTGTGCCTCAGTCCCATCTCCCAGTGCTTGCAGAGCCTTTTGTACCTGTGCCACACCTCCTCATGTACTTCTGAAGGACATAGAACAGAGGGAGGACAAGCAATACCAATACAGAGGCTAGTCAGTGGCAGAACGCACTCTGACATAATGATTTTGGTGGCCCCCACAGATGCACTGGCAAATGCACAAGTATCTTCTCAGTTTGTCAGGCCTGCAGTGCTTCTTCGTAATTAAGCTATTCCCCATCTGATGTGCTCCCTTCAGGTCACATTCAGGACAAGGAACATTGCTCCGGACCCACCAGTGAAGTTTTAGACCAGTGAAAGATCAACTAGACAGAGAGTCAGGGAACAGCATATCACCAGGTTGGCTGCTGTGTAAAGCCAAGGAAGCCAGAATGCATTTGGGACCCGGCGGTCTTTTAGAATTCCCTGTGAGAAGGAATATACAATGAGATGGTACTGTCTTCTACCCCAGGCCAGATATATTTTGTTCCCTACAGTCCTGCTGCAATATTTAGCCTCTCCTTTCTTTGTTTTCCTCAGCAAACTGAAGCTTTTTTCAGGGTCAGTCCTTCTGAAAGGGGGCTAAAATTTGAGATCAAGACATGAAAAGCCTTTTAGGAAAGCTGGAACTGTTTGCTTCTCCTCTTCCAATGTGCAGTACAGGCATGAGTAAAAGAAGTAATTTTTATCAGCAATGAAAAAAGCAGTGAAGCATGTGTACATGCGTAGGAAGGGAAACCTGAGGGTTTGTCGTCTCTCTCAGTGCGACAGCGCTAGGTGTCTGCTGTGTTTCCAGGGTACCAGGCTCAGCACATTGGGTCCAAGGCCTGCCATCAATGAATCTCATGAGACCTTCCCAGGCAATAAAACCCTCCTTATGAGGACGGAGGAATATGTTGCTCATAAAATGGGTTAGTATGATCACAGGAGCATGTTCTGTTTGAACACAGAAAACTCTTCATCACCACTTCCAAGATTCCTACATCGCACAGTCAACAGCATGTTCATTTTAAGTAGAGAAGGAACGACTTCAATCAATTTGGAAAGTCTGAGAATTTCCATTGAAATCAGTAGAAAACTTGCATGGATTTCCTAGAATGAAGTTTAACTGTGCAGAAAAGGAAAACCCTTCCTCCCCAAAAGTGAATCCAGCTATAAAACAATGCATTCGTGATTTAGAAAGAGAGGGAAAACCTGCATCTGGGCTTCTCATATTACTTCTTGAGAACTTCCTCTTTTGGAAGTATCCAACAGTATGTTTGTGAAGAGCCCCAGGCATATTCTTTTTTTCTTAAATGTACATTAATTTGTGCTTTCAAGACTTGTCTGGCCATTGGAGGTTCAGATGTACCCATTTTTCAATAGCACCAAACAGACATCAGAAACATTCTGTTCTCAAGTCTTTACTGTTTTATTCTATTGTAGAAGGTGTTTTCATGAACCTTTATATGTAATCTGGAGCCCTAACAAGCAAGAATTAAAAGCATTACCAGTAGAGACATAAAATACCCACCTCTCTTTCCCAGCTGTGCTCATATGACCAAAATTTTCTGTTCTAATAAACAAGTTAGTGGTGTGTAAATCTTCTTACAAGGCACTGAAGGTGAAAAAACTGTAATTTACTTGGGCTCATAAAGCTAAACAACAGCTATGTTATAGCAACATTATAATCTCCCCAAAGCATTATGGGATAACATGGAATCATTCTTCTGCAAGAGAAGGATAAATAACACTTTCATTAAAATATCTTCTCCTGTATTGGGCAGGTCAAACCAGTTAATAGTGTTAATGATCCAGATTCAGGAAAAGGAGGCAGTTTAAGAACACTCCAAAGAACAGGTGTGCCATTCAGAGTCTTCTATTTTTGTGGGGTTTTTTTCACATAAGTTTGTTTTTTGCTTTTTAAGGCGAGAGCCCTACACCTTGGCTCCCCCTGTGTTTCAATGCAGCCTTGTTGTATGCAAAGTCAAAGCCAGTACCAGAAGGAAGAGAGAACGGGAAAGCCGGTGAGCTCTGCCAGTGTCTGGATGAGCGTGACTACACCGTCCATGGCTCCGGGGCTGGGGTTCGACTGTGAGGTAGCCATTAATGATCCGGATCCGGGGAGGAGGCTTGGTAGCACTGCAAGGCAAGAGAAGAACTTCAGTCCAGACCCAGCCCAGAACTGCCCGACGCCTACAGAGCAGGAGTCAGCCTCTATGCCCCACTTTCAGTCTTCTGGCTTCTGGGAACAGTCTCTCATACTGGGTCCAAGCTCACCAAAGGACCGTGTCTTCTAATGGCTGATCAACTGCCTTGTGCCACTGCCCAGCTGAACTGCCCAGTCTTTACTGGTAACCGGGAAGAGACTGAGAAGGGTGGAGATAGCACCAAAACACCTGCCCTATACTCAGGTCTACCCAGCCAACCTGCCCATTGCTCCGATGCAGTCAGTCAGATAGGTAAGACAATCATGTTCCTAGAACCTTTCAGCTAAGCAGAAAATACATAACACGAGCAAAATAAGCTTCGTTGAAGAGGAGTGTCACTGTAGCAACACTTGCTGAGCACAGCAGGAGTGAGGCACCTGCTTTCAGCTGAATCCATCTTCCCCAGCCATGCTTCTTTCTGTAAATGCATCTTAGCATGGACCAAACTTGTTCCTATACTTCCCTTCCACAGGTCAGGAATTACAAAGGTCAGGAATTACATGACATGCCTTAAGGAGAAGAACCACTTCCAGAAATGCATCCTAAAGGCACTGATGAAAGATCACCATATCTCAGAGTATCTTCCCAGTGGCAGTGAGGATTCAGGTGGTGATGAACAAGAACTGAGTCAGAACCTACATGATTCTGAACTCCCATGTTGTTTACGGCAACACATGATGGAGGAGAGAAATTCGTGCACTCCAGGCTAACATCAACTGTCCTGAATTGGAGGAGCTCCCACACCACTGCAGGTCAAGAGTCAGAAAGGTCTGATACTATACAGGTATTGTTCTCTTTGGCAACGGACTGAAAGCCATGCCTGACCCTACAGCTGTAAGGGCCTCGTGGTGCTGTGTGGAATCAGAAGACAAATCAGACAAAATTAAAAGCAAGTCTACCTGCCAAATACAAAAGCAGAGTAATTTCTCCTGCACCCACTCCCCAGCAGCTCCGTACCGCTCTCGGCTTATTTTGGCCAGCTGCATTAGGCAAAAACGCTTTGGGAAAATGAAGGCAATTAGCACTTTTAAAAATAATTTTTAAATACACCTAACCTTCTATACTCAAAAGCCCCCATGGAAGGCTTGAACTGTAATGGAGAGAAGTCAGCTGGCAGCACATAAAAGAAATATAGCCAACAGCCGATGCATACAGGAGCAAGAACCAAATGAATTCTGCCAAGCCCACTACAAGCCTGTATTAAATCACTGGAGCTGTGCCTTTCACATTTTCAGTCTCACAGGAGGACAGCTGTAAACGGCCCACGCATAAGAAACCAGAGCGCTTTACCTGCGCCTGGGCACCCCGTGGAATGCTTATAGCAAGGGCTGAGCCTGCCAGCGAGACGTGCCCGCACGCTGCTGAGCTCGGGCCCCGAGGGGCCGAGTCTCCGCGGGGACAGGGGCGGCTGTGCCACCAGGTGGGGCTGTCGGCTCAAGCGGCGCCTGCCCGGGCAGCCCGCAGCGGCACCCGCAGCCCGCACACGCCTGTCGGGGCCGGGAGGGTGGCGATGCCCCTGCCCTACACAGACTAAACCCAGAGTACGGGTCGGGGCAGCTGGCACTTGCGGCTTTCCCTCTGCAGTACGGGCGCAGCAATCGCCCAGGCGGCAATAAGCATCACTTGTCTTTCCAAATACTGTCATGCGACAGCTCCATCTTATCACCTAGCATCTGGGTAAATTTCTAGCTGAAAGGGTAACTTAATTAATAGGGGAAGAAAGGAGACATTAAAAAAGAAGAAAAGGAAAGGAGGCATTTGCTGTTTCCATATTTATGTTGTAGTTTCCTAAGCCATTAGCTTCCCTTTTACCTCACTATTGTGTTGCAGTACTTGCAGTCTAGTATGTAGCCCTAATGTACCTCCTATTTAGTCACAGTGGCACATCCTCCCATCTTCCCTTTTCTTCTGAAGGCACCGATGCCGCAAGGGCATGTGTATCTCACATCAGGGCACCCACTGGCTTCCCTGAGCTTCAGGGAGACAACTCCACGTGAAGAACTGAACGCGTCAGTGAGCAGACAGGGAGGAAGCTTGAGATCATAAAGACTCCAAATTATTCCTTGGCGTTTCAACTAAACAGACTGCCAACAGAAGCTCCATTTATGAACAGCTGGTATGAATTAACATTAATAGAAAGTGATACACTAAAAGACAAAATGTGATCAATACAAGGATTTGTTTTACTGGTGAATTTTGGACTGTATGTAGGTCTGTCATGTCAGTGGGGATGCAAACCTCCATGCGCATATCGCCCTTTCTCTCTGAACTACTCAGACTTAGGTTGGAAGGAACGGCAGAGAGAGGACACAAAACTATTCTAGAAAAGAGAAAAAGGAGCCTGATCTAAAAAGTCTGACAAAGGCTGTATGCTTGAGACAGAACAACAGCTGCTGCACCCACTCGCAGCCAGCCTGAGCAATGGTACAGCTGGGACACAGGGACATGACAGGAGAGGCACAGGAGAACCCTGATACCATGAAGAGCAGAAAGAAATATTTTGCAGAGGAAAGAAAAGATTAATGTAGAGGCTTCATTTCAAGAACTGCAGGCTTTTCTCCATCACCTTTGACCTGTTTGGTTATTTACACTACCACAAAAAAAAAAAAAAATGTTTTCAACCTGCGTATGTCAGAGATGCAGTGACAGAAAGTACAAAAGAGAGCAGATTCGGGTCTGCATGGTATCTGACAGGAGGGAAAAATTAAGCTACACACTCAGGCACAGGCCTAAGTACACAGCCAGTGAGAGAGAAGTTGGCTTATTTTGCAGGCTGATGTAGTCCTTGTAGATGAGTAAGCTCTTCTGGATGAAAACTAGGAAGTATGTGTGAAACTTTGCCCCATAACACACTCCATTTTCTGTATTAACTCCATCATCCATTAGGTTGTCATCCTCCTTTCCAGATCTCCAGTAATGCCACGGGGCTCATATGCTTTATAAGACTGCGAAGAATATGGAGACTGGAAATACTGCATAAATATTGTCCCAATGCAAGGAGCACATATACCAGATATGACAGTTCCCAAATATGCAGCAGCTCTTAGATAAAGGTCCAGGGCTTTGATCCATACCATATACCACCCATCCTTCTGTGATAAAGAGGACTACCATGTGTTCACAATCCCTCAAGCCCAAATGCAAAATGGTCTAGACAAGGCTTCCACTTGTATTATGCCTAATCTTCCACAAACCTAACCACATGGAAGAAACTGTTTTGTCACTAAAAGCACAAGCAGCCTTGAGTAAATGCTTCAGCAATAACTATGATGAGGGAGAAGGTCAGATCCTGCCCTAAGCATGTGTCTAGCCCTTGCAGAAGTTTGGCATACTGAATTAACCAAAGTCCAGTTTGCATGACAAACCCTCATCCCTCCCCAGCCATTAACTACCTTTCTTCAAGGCGAACCCAGAGGTCGTTAAATTGTCGAAGTCTTTGTTTCTTCTGCTGCTTCTTCTTCTTCTTTTTGTACTTCCTGTCTACCTTCTCCAGGATGTCAAAGCTGTCAGGGAGCAGCAGGTGAGGCAGGAGCTCTTCCTCCTCTTCCTTCCGGGAGTGCAACGGCAGTGGGAGCTCTTGGGACATGACATAGGGGCTATGTGCTGCTGCTGATGATGAAAAAGCTAACAAGGTTTTGGGGTGCTTTCTGCTGGAAGAAGGAGGGAACACAGATAATATTTGAAAATGCTTTGAGGCAGAATCCTGGTACAGATACCATCAACACATATATAGAACAGATGTTTCTTCCTGACATATTGGTTGACTGGTTATTTCTGTGCCTTGTATTCCTGCCCCCTCTTCCTTAAGTTAATATTCTGATCAAAATAGTTCTCTTTAATGAAAAAAGCCTCAGAATAGAGGTAATCTGGAACTCAGGAAAGAATGTAGTCTGGCTCTTGGAATTAACGTTGTGTATCTAGAAAGAGACAAAAAAGGAATCACTCTCAGAGGAGGTCAAACCACACTCCTCAAGTCTGACGCACTGCACAGAACAGACCAGATTATTCCTTTCAGCAATTCCTGCCCAGAACCAACTAACATAGGGAGCAGGGAGAAGGGGCAGGAACAGGACAACTAAGGCACTCTAGCTGAAGGAGCCAGTCCTAGATCAACAACTCTCACTGGAGAACGGGAGCTCAGCATTGCTACAGACACAGCCAGGACAACCCTCATCCTGTATGGCAAGCCATTTATTTTTATACCTGCAGCCTCAGAACACTATCAACAACAGACATTTATATACACAACCTCCTTTGCAACACTTCCTGCAGGTAATTCTTTCAAGGACTGACTGAGCAACCACAGGTAAAGGCACACAGATGCAAATGCATGTCCTTCTTCCCCAAGGCCAGTTCTCTCTCACAGCACAACAATTAAAGGAGGAGTCAGGAAGCACTGTAATTACAGCTGTGATTATGTGATGAATATTTTACAATATACATATGCATTCTGAAATCAGGAACAACATCTAAAGCCCCAAACAAGGCAGCAGGGGCTTGATTGAACTTGTAGCACTATTTATAAACTGTCCTTTGTGCTACCATGTGGTTGGAGCACCTCTTCTACCTTCCTTGCTTTGGGGACCCCAAGAAGAAGCAGTCATTTTTCCTCCTGGGTAGGGGTCAATGAGTACTGACTGGACTGTGTGCACTACTGCTATGTAGAACAGTAGCTGGGTGTGGTTCCACATTTAGGTGGGCTGGACTGGGTTTATTTACACAGAATGCCCTGGTAGTTGCTTCTAGGACAAGCCCAGGATAGCCATCAAGTGAAACCCTCCATCCAGCCCCCAGGATTCTGACATTCATGCCACAGATCTTTCCCTCACCTCAAATGCTCTTCTCCTTCAGAACTCACATTTTTCTTGAAACTCATTTCATATTTTTAAACCTGCTTCCAAGTCATCCAGAAATGTTAACACTTTTTCTCAAAGAAAACACTAAAGTGCCAGTTTCTTTAGCTTCTTCAATGTAGCTTTAAAATCAAGACTCCAGGAAAGATGTTCTGTCCAGTAGTCCTAATGAAAGGTTTGAGAAGCAACCAGTGCCAAACTGAGGGCTTTCAAAGGCACAAGAATCACTGGCTGGACAATGAAGTCCCATGATGTGGTCAGAGAACTGGGTGTCCAGCTGCCCTGACTATCACTGATACCTACCTTCCTGATGGGTAAAGATCTAGCCTCCTTCCCATATTTCTCTGTCCTTGATTTCCTTACAGCTACATCTTTACAGAGCAGTATCTGATTTTGTTTATTCTCAACTACATACTAAGCTCTCTTTCTTTATCCTTTAAGAAGCTGCTATGGCTATTTTTAGGAATACCTAAGCTAAGAATGTTCTAGTGCAGGAAAAAAACCCACAAAAATATCAGGCAGGTTGATTATCCCTATAAACACTGATACACTGGATTGTCTAGCATGACTTACGTCTTACAGGATCAGCTATATACAGGAGGCTTCTCCATGTTGACTATCAGCCCATTGGTGGCAATAGGGGTTGCATTCATGTACTCATGGGGGTGAGTCTTGGCTCAATGTGTTTCAGTGCATGTAGAGTTAATGATGTACGTCCATGTCAAGAATCATAAAAAAAACATGACCTGCTAGAGTTTGTATCTTGTGGTCTGAAAAAGGCAGCAAAAGTGATGCAAAGAGAAACGTGAAGCAACCAGAGTATGTGAAAAATATGTTACTATTTTGCACCACATCTGTGGAGCCCTTGGCACAGACCACGACTCTGCACCCTTGCACAAAAGGTGATCACCCTGCTTGACAGCCACATATCAGAAATGAGGGGGAGGAGGAACAGAGGTGTAAGCAATGAGGGACAGCATGCCTGGTATAGAGGATAAAAGGGAAACAGTACCGTAACCGGGATCAAACCTTTTTTTCCACTCTGGGTTTTTAGCAGTGACTAAAAGGAAGAGTGGGGACATCTGATAGACACAAGAGCACATGTTTGCCAAGAGTCTGGGGAAGGGGGAAATAAGGACTGCAGACCCTAAGCTGGTGGTCAGAGGTGAGTCGAGAGCACATGTAACTCTCGGCAGAGTGTGGAAGAGGAAATTATTTGGCATTCTGTAGTTACAGAAACCATGGAGATGGATAAAGGCACCCAGTGAGAGATAAGAAGAGGCAGTAAGGGTATATCCCAAAGGACAGCTGCAAGATGAACCAGAACAGCAAGCACCTTGGCTTAAAAATGCAGAAGAGAGCAATGAGTCATGGGAACAGCTTGCAAAGAGGCTGGATGGACTCTGTGCATTCAGATTCCAGGCTGAGAGTAATCAGAAAGAATGAAAAATAGCAGTGTAAAAGAAGAAGAGTGTTAAAAGGCAGGGCAGTTAAACACTTAAAAGGGAGGAAGGAGAAGCCTGGAAACCAATGTGGTATGAGACAGCATCCAGATCTGATGAATGAAGTATGCACGCTCTAGGGCTGCTAGTTTAAGAGTTAAAAATTCACAGGGCCCGGGGGGGGGAATATTTTTATTAAAGAATCCCAAAACAAAACAAAAAACAAACAACAAAAAAATCCCCCAAACAAAACACCAAAAACTCAAATAAAATCCTGTTTCCAAATTGGCTCAAGGAAGAGAAAAGCAAACTGCTGGGGAGGAGAGAGGGAGCCTAGCTCACTGGTATATTTCCAGCTGTCACTACTTCTTCATGATTGTTTACAAACCCACCCTCCCAATGACTGCTCAGCTAGATAAAAGCATGCATTACTTGTTGATGGCTTGTCCAGCTGGAGTGTGTTCTACCTCGTACCCTTCTCTCCTCAAAACATCAATCACTGTGTTGTTGCCCATGAAGTGACCTGCAGTTAAGAGAAAAATGACATCAGAACTCGAGGAGCACAGGGAAAGAGAGAGAACAACAAAGTCCTTTCTCATCACAGGAGGTGTGCCACACTCAGGGGAGGCAGTATGCTATCACTCCCACCAGTATGCACCAGAAACACAGGATCTCTAACAAATGACTGCTGAACAAGGTCACTTCAACTACAGCCCTTCTAAAATGCAGATCTGATTGAAATTACTTTGATCCCACAGGCTGTTGTATTATCAGGCCACTGAAGATTTCTTGGGGCAGTAAGAGATGAAGTTGGGAGACACTTGGTCAGGAGCAGCACTGAGTCTACAGCTGCTGGTGGTGGAAATCAGGTCAGAATCTGGCCACAGCATGTACATAATTTTAAAATCCTCTGGCATCATAAAGGAACTATCTGAGATGTTGGTCAACATCATCAACAATTTTTAAATGAGTAAGAATCATCCAACTGCAAAGAATAACAAATAGCTCTGAAAGCCAATGACTAAAAGCAACGCCTTTCATTCCTTCAGTGTAAGCCACCGGATACAGGAACTCCATTTCAGTCTTGTTGACAAAACTTTTGGAAGGAGTTAGCTATGGAAGGACTTAGAGACATAGGACTCTGTCCTATGTCTCTAAACCATTTTCAGACAGATGCTGTGGCTGGTCAGCCCATAATTTGGCAACATATTGAATAGATGGCTACTCAAAGGGTGCAAGAGTTACTCCTGAAGGACTGTATGCTCTGCATGCTGGCTGACTGACTGGCTTCCACCATCACTCTAACACCTTAACAGACAAGGCTCATGAGGAGCAGATGGACAACAGAGACCTTGCAAAGACCCTCATAGATCTAGCTTTCTTGAAAACCTTTCTTACTTTAACAGCCTACATTAATTGCAATTAGATTGAGCAAATGACCAATTAGAATCCTCCCTTGTCTCAGTAAATGTATGCAGTGCTGAAACTGATACATAACTTCAGAAAAACTGTTTTCTGCTAGTAATCTTCATAAATACATGGGAATAAACCCACTAGAATGATTCTATGAGCCAGGAAAAGCAGGGAGATAGAAAGTCCAACAGAGATGAGATTAAGAGGGGACTAAACCCAAGGGATTTATGATTTTTTACCCCAAAATGGATTCAATGAATTGGAGCACAAAATTCCAGTTTCTCATACCTCAAGAGCAAAGGACTCAAGAACTACCAATTTAAGGCATGACAGTTAGATGGTATGATTTGAGCACAGATACTTATCAAGATGAAATTTCCCCAAGATGAAGAACACAAACAGATCTAGCTCAAATGAAACTTTTTAACCAAATACTGCAATGCACACCCATTGGGTACCATATTTTCTTACCTAGTACCTGGATTTTCCCTCAGCTCCTTGGCCTAACTTTTGCCTTCAGAAAGAGTAAAGTTTGACCATTATGTGTATCTAACCTAATACTGTTGGTATCAGCCCCAGGTGCTGTTAACTGAGAATTTCTTCATGTCAGCAAAAAGACTACATGCGGCAGGGAACAGGAATGACTGTAGTTAAACACTGTAATTGAGTAAAATTACCCATTGGAAGGCCAACATTGGGTATATAAGGTGCCAGACCTAGTTGCTATCTCTCACCTTTAGCACAGAGGAGAGGTATGTGCAAAGGGAAGGGGGGACTCACTCCTCCTTGCTGCCTCCAGACAACCGAGAAAGCAGCACTTCCACCCCTTGTGAGACTGAGATAGGACAACTTAGACTTTTAGAGAAGTGCTCTCCATTGATGAGGATGGGACAATGTCTATAGCAAGTTCAGACTAGGTATCCATCTCATCTAGGCAATGTTGCATGAGCTGAGCCCCATCCTCAGCAGTGAAAAGCAGTGCCAAGGCTCCAAACTCTCATTTTCCTAACCCAATTCCTTCAGGAGCAAAAGGGAAAAACATAAAGATAAGCAATCTATAGGGCAATTTACAGTGTTAAAATAATTTTCCTCATCCCAGTTTAAGAGCTTCAAGAGTGAGCTACCGAATAGCTGCTTACATGACACCAGTAAATGCACTACCTCTTTTCGATCTTCAGTCTCCCTTGCTCAGAGCAGTCATTTAGACTGGTATGTAAGAAATGACTGTAGTACATGGATTAATCCCATTTCAATCACTCAATCTGCCTGAGTGATTCCCTGAAGCTGGGCCTTAATCTTCTTTTTCATTTGATGGAGTGATAAGAATATCTTTTATATCACAGTCATATGTACAGGCCTTGACAAGAAGCCTTTGCTCATCATTAATGATGCAATGAGTTACGTCTGTGCATGAAAGAAAAATGGCATGCTAATATTGTGCTAAAGAGAACAGACCAAAGGAATAGATATGTGTAAAGCAGATGCATACAAATTTAAAGAGGCATTAGAGAGGCACTGATGACATTGGACTGTCATCACCCAGGAGCCGCTCAGGCCAGGTACATACAAGGATTAGGAAATGTCAGTGTTTGCTATCTGAAGGGTGGGCCACACATGCTTCATGAGACAGAGCTGGTCCAGGGCCCTACAGGCTCAATCTGAGCTAGGTGCAAAATGAAAAAAAAGACAGAAGTGTGAGGGTCTGAGGCACAGGATGCCACCAGGAGCCTCTATAGAGTCAGCACTTCTGCCTTTTTTGTGGGAACTATCACAAAAAGAGCTTGGTGGGATATGCACCAAAAGCAACTCTAAGAAACACGAGAAAGATTCACTCTCCAAGGTTTAAGATCAATAACTGCACTGCAAGGGAGTCTTAGCCCAAAGTCACATGACAGGGAGTAGGCTTCTTTCACCTGATTTCTATTTTAGACTAACACACTTGAATGCCCCCCAAAAGAAAAGCCCCAGGCCCTGTCCCATTAGAAAGCCTTTTCTTTTCTTTCTGTATGCAGCCCTGCATTATCCTCACACCACTAGGTGAAGAGATGCCTCTGAGAGGTCAATCTACTCTGGCAGGGGGTGCAGGCCATTCTTCTGTGTTCAAGCTCAAAGAGAAATTAAGAAGCTGTTGTGTGCACCAGCTCAGCCATGCACTCTACTGGAGAGTAAATAAGACCCCAGCCTTTAATCTGCACTTAAAGGAGATGGCATGCAGGGACCGCAACAGGCAATGTGCTCAAACAATGCTGTTTGACCAACGTGTGCCTGCAGACTAGTCCACGCGCTCATACATGCATTGTGTACTCCTGACCTTCCTCAACAGAAATACCTAATCTCGCTGAACACAGTCTACTAGTATTGTTATGAAATCCGTGTCTCCTGCTTGCAGCTTTTACTGCTGGTGCACGCAGAGGTGTTTTCATCTAGGTAAATGTGCCAGAGCTGTGGGTTTCAGAAGAGGCTCCTGAACCCAAATTTGAGCCACCACAAGGATGAAAATTTTCTTCATCTAGTGAAATGAACGAGGAACTACTGCACAACAGAAGTTCTGTTTCTGTTCCTGAATTTTTATTTGTCATATAAAGCAAGACTGTAAGGCTGAATAAAACTATTGTTCCTCTTGAATTTTAAAAAAATTCGACTATTCCAAGCCGATACACAAATTTCTTGACATAGAGTCATGTAAAAGGAAACCCCCAAGCCCATGTAATTCTTTATGTCTGCTGTGTTTTCCCATCTGCCCCAGAAACATTTCTGGAAATGCCCATGGCAATGATCATCTGCTATCATTCTTCTTAGACTCCTTCCAAGAATTATACAGATAAATTCATACAACATGCCCCAGAAGGGTGAACAGGACACCTGTAGGTGACTGGATTATAGTCAGCGGCCTGTGTAAAAGGCATGACATAAGGCTGATGACTATGCTGCCCACAAACAAAAAAAGAGAAACTTCAGCAAAAATTAGCATTTAACCATGAGGCAACAAAGGACAGCTCATCCCTCTATATGCCTCCCCTGGCAGGGTTCTTCTCCGACCCTTTCAGTAATCACAGTGTCTTCCAACATCAGTCTGTGAGCCAATAAACCCATGGAGAAGGGTTCAAAACTGCCAGTGCTCCCTCAAAGGATGCAAACAGAACAAAGGACAATTCCTGATGACCTGTAGAGAAGGGGCATGCATGGCCCAAGTCAGTCCCACAGGTATCTGCAGTGAAAAGCTTGAAGTTCAGTGTGTGGCCAATGATCTAGAGAATGCAGAGTATTGTCTTGTGTCATTTCATTGGATGGAAGCCAAACTGCATAGCAGACATTGTACTCCTTCTACAGGTCCAGATCACTTTAGCATTCAACAGCCCATAAGACAAAAGTGACCCTTATTGGACCCTTATTGGTGGACAGAGTGATCCTTATTCACATCAGGTACCTGACAAAGCTAAAATGAGTTCCCAGAACACAGCTCTTAGGAAACAACAACTAAGAATGGAGACATGGAAGGTACTCATGTAGTACTCCCACCCACAGTGTCCCTACATGCAAGAACCCTTGAAGAGGAATCTTCTTCATCCCACTCCATGGTCTGTTATTCCCCCTAAAGGAGCTGAAATGAGTGAAATAGAAGCAAGCCTGTGGAAAGAACAGTATGTTCCTCCCTGTCCCTAAATCTCTACTTAGTTTAACCTTTTGGCACAAGGACAAGCTCATGCTGTGTGGGTGAGAGGCCAAGTCCATTTTTCACACATATCACAAAATGACCTCGCTCTGCTCCCCTGTAGTACTAAGTGAGCAGAGAAAGGTAACCCATAGCCATGTCTTAGTGGCAGAGCTCAACAAGCCATATTGGAGGCAGTTATACCATAGCATGCTCAACAGCACCCTCAGATTTGTGTAATCACGTTACTACCAAACTTCGTTTGCAAAAATTCCTGTGCAAAACTGCAGGGGACTTCCTATATGGGCTGGTAACACCACCTGTAGCGTACATTCCCAGCTAAGAACCCCTGAAGAAACCTGTACTTGATGCTCACAAACCCAGGGGCAAATTTCATTACTTTGCCTCACACATACACATGGTTACACTTTTAAAGTACATCTTTAATATGATCCAAA